GCACCTTCGTCGAAATTGTGGTCTCCAAAGGTGCCCGTCCATTTCACTAACGAAGTCCGGAGTTCGTTCCAAAAATTGAAGATGACATTGCTTCTCCCTCCCGTCTTGAGTATCTACAATCCCACCTTGCTGACGAGAGTGACCACGGATGCTTTCGGCTACGACATTGGTGCAGTTTTGGAACAACACGACGGATTGAGTACTTCCGCCTAAATTGGCATTCGGTTGATTACTTCAGCCAAAAGGTGCAACCCATCAACTCGGTTGATGATGCATGGAAGGAGTTGCTTGCATTTGTCACGGTACTAAAACGCTCCTCGGGCGACGTAGGTTGACTTGGGCGACGGACAACAACCCATTGACCTACTACAAGATGCAAGACACGGTGAGTAGCACAATTGCTCGTGGATGTACTTCATCGATCAATTTGACTTCACACCGAAGCACATTTCGGGTCTCTCAAACCGAGCCGCGAATGCTCTCTCGCGAGGATTGGATCTTTGCGCAGCGATCCACCACATGTTCGGCTCCCACGACGACCTCCATCAACATTTTGTGCGCGCATACAAGACGGATCCGGAATATGCTACTCTGTGCAAGCAACTTTTTTCGGGTCACCTTTCGGCTAGCCACTATCGCATCGCCGACAGCTACTTGCTTCTCCATTCACGAGGCAAGGAGCTACTATGCGTCCCATACGAGCACGAGTTCCATTGGCCTGACCTCATTACCCATGTCACCCGGTAATGGGAATCTTGCGAAGTTTGCCAACGACGCAAACCCCGCAACCGCAACCCCTACAACAAGTTGCGCCCATTGGCTATCCCTCGGGAACCCGGCCTCTCCATTGCCACAGATGTCACCTGCCCATTCCCTACGATCGCTTTGGGCCCAACGACATTCTCACGGTCGTTGACCGTTTGAGTAAGTACGCGCGATTTCTTACTTGCAAGTATCACGCCACGGCTCCCGAGCTCGCGCGACTCTTGCACACCGACTAGATTTGCAGCCAAGGCGTCCCAGAGGACATCGTTAGCGACCGCGACACTCGCTTCATGTGGGCATTTTGGACTTCTCTCATGAAGGAGTCCGGCTTCGAGTTCGGCTTAGCATTGACAAACAGACGGGCAAACGAAGCGGGCACATCAAACCGCTGAAATGACGCTCCGTACGCTCATCCGTCCGGACCAAAGGGATTGGGTTGACCACCTCCCCGACATCGAGTTTGCCTACAACACTTCGTTGCATCCAGCGATCGGCGCGACTCCATTCGAGTTGCTCCACAGTGGCCGAAAAGGCCGTATCTTCACTGATCTCTTATTTCCACGAACTGCCGACATTGACGCCCCTTGCTCTCCCGCCTCTGTTCGTACGTACCGGGACTTGCTGGCTCAAGCCCACACGAACATGCACAAGGCTCAAGTCCGCATGCAGCAGCAAGCCAATAGGCGTCGCATGCCATGTCCTATCCGCGCCGGCGACCTTGTTTGGGTCTCTGCGGACAAGTTCGTGCTCAAAACGTTTTGTGCAAGCTACTCCCCAAGTGATTTGGACCTTGGACTGTCACATAAGTCGTAGGAGATGAGCTCGTTGGCCCATCCCGCCGGATCTACCAGTCCACCCGGTCTTCCACGCCTCCAAGCTTCCCGGCCCAACGATCGCAGGACCCTCCGTCTAGCGATGGTCATCAGGAAATCGATTGCGTCCTCACACACCGCAAATACGGCAACAAGCCGATGCAGTACGAAGTTACATTCAAGTGGTGCGACCGTGACGACACATGGTGGATTTCACGAGAAGACTTGCAAGCAACCGCACTGCTAATCTACGTCGACTACAAGTGACGACGAAGCTTCACAACCTGCCCCTCCCACCCGGGCTTCGTCCCCTCCCTCCGATAGACAGCTTCGTCCTCGCAGGTGAGCTCGGTCTTTCAAGGAGGGGAGGGTATGGCATTCAAAAATCCCACAGGGCCCCTGCAAGGCCCAAGCCGTAGGACTAGGGGTTTTGGGGAGGTTTAGGGTTTGTTCTAGGGTACGCATCATTTCAGTAGGACGGTACCAGCAGGCTAGGCCCTGGCACAGTATTGGCGCTAGACACTGGTACGGTCTGGACGCCGTTTCATTCTGGCGCCAGACCAGGGTAGATTTAGGCCGCCAGGACCGTCGATCGAAGGGTAGATCGGACGGCCCTGATCGAGAGGCCCAGGCCAGGTAGCCGGCCTCCCAGTATAGTCGACAAGAGGTATGGCCGAGTAGTCTTCCAGCGCTGGGCGCTGCGTTAGGTTCTGACCACGAGCTTGAGCTGCAGTCTACTGCAGCGGAGGTTAGGGAGAGCTCCGACTATGGTGGAGGCCAGGGGACTTACCTGACGCTCCAGCGTCGTTTTTAGTGCGTCCATACCTGCATCAAGGCGATACATTTCCCAGGTCAGTACCTGGTATACACACACACACACACACACACACACACACACAAAGAGAGAGAGA